ATATATAAAAAAATATATATATATATATATATATATATATATATATATTATAAACGAGGAAGGTTCAAATGGCATCGGTGTAATTTTTACCAAATATTACACCGTTTAATAACTTTATATTAAATGTGAATTTTATAAATTCAATCGTTAAATTGAAAGTTCTTATAACTTTATATGTATATATCAAATTTTATTAAAATTGAATAACTTAAAGATAATCAAAATGTTAATATTTTATTATATTTTAAAATGTATATATTATGTCAATTTTATTTTATAAGATTTAAGGTTTAAGATTTAGGGTTTATCTTAAATTAATATAAAATTTTATATATATGATTTAAGAATAAACAACTTTCAATCTAATGCTTGAATTAAATAATAGTTATTGTTGGAAGAAGGAAATGCTATAAATGATAGAAGTGTGCAAGAGTGTTTGAAGGAAAGTATTAACAATTTACGGCTCATAATTCGTTAGACAAAACTTCCTGTATATTCAAACTCACATTTAATTCTAAAAAAAACACATTAAATCTTATTTTTTAACTAATGAGTTCCTCGTTCCTACTCATAATCTTGAATTTTTTTATAAAAAATAAAATAAAATAAAATAAACGAATATGTTAGACAGTTTTTTTTATATGTTCAAAACAAATACAATTTTTTTTAATTGATAGGTAGATCGAATGTAACTCTTCCAACTTATATTACAATTCCATTATATCTTAGTAGTCCCTTTTATTATGTTAGAGAATGTATTGATTGTCTTTTTTTATATATGTTTTTATAAATATAAATATCTGTTATTCATTCTAAATTTTAATGAAATATTTTATTAATGACAATAATATGAGTTAAAATATAAATATCTAAACATAAAAAAAAATCTAAATTTTAATTTTAATTTATTTAATTTATTTTTATTTTAAAAATAACCTATAAATAATTTATTATACTTAATATTATTTAAATAAATTTAAGTATTAATCAAAAAAAAATATTTTAATAGCAATTTGGGTATTAAGCTACTCTTTATAAAGAAGAAAATATGTGAATGATAATTTAATTTTATAATAGAAAATTGATTTCTTTATGATGATTAACATATAAAAATTATTAACTGTAATTGATAATATTTTTAATAATAATATAATATGTTCTAATTATTAATTTTTTTGTTAACCATTGATATAAAATAATATGTACAAAATGATATATATATATATATATATTATTTTTAATATGAAGACAACTTTTTTTTTTCTTGTTACGTGTCTTTATTGGTATTATTTAGTATTTTATATTTTTTTATTATCAAATAAATTTGTGTATTTTTAAGTCAAAAGACAATCATAAATCTCTTTGATTTAGAATTTTAATGCTAACAAATAAAATATTTTTATAAAAAGACACAAAAAATGTTGTTGAAAAATTTATCAAATAAAGTGTAAGATGTTGTAAAATAGATAAAGCATACAATTTATCTCATATATATTAAATGTTTATTATTTATTGAGATTAACAACAAAATTTTTTGAATATTTCATTCTTTAACAAATCAAACTAGAAAATCATCTCGGAACTCACAAATTTGTTAAAGAGAACAACAAGATCATATTTTTTGTCCGGACCTAGGACAAAACGTCCAGTTTAACCCTGCCATATTTTCATGTAAACATGATCATTATAGTCCAACCACCAAGAAATATGTAAGGGTAAGCTAATGTACAAAAGGATAAACATATACCTCAATTAATACATCATCAGCATCACACATTCACCTATGAAGATCTCCTACGTCAAAATGGGTAGTCTAAGTGGTTTGACCCTATTGAAGTAACATGATATTTTTCATGCCTAATAGATCAAGAGCTAGGTTTGGATATGAATCCATAAATACATTATTTCTCGGATGTCACCACTTAAACAAGGAAAATCTAGTATCACCATCGAGTATAGCATAGTTTAGGTGTGAACTTATCATGACATTGACATGCATTAACCTAGTCCCCTAGGTGATCAAGTTTTGAGATAAAAATTAAATAATATGAAATAAAAATTTAAAATAATAAAAAAAATAATCAAGTCTTAACGTAAAAAGGGAATTCTAATATTGAAATAAAATCTTAAAATGAAAATATGGAAATGGTTAATAATTTGCAATTTAAAAATAAAAAATATAAGTGTTAAATGACTATAAGGTAGGTAAATGTAGCGAGAAGAAAAAAAATCCTTATTTTTATAGTATACAAATTCCTTTCTTGCATGAGTGAAGAATCTTACTCATAATATATGAAAAAAAAAGGATAAATATTAGAAGGGGATTGAATAACGTATGTAAAAAACTTGCATGATATTTTGTAATGAAGTGGTAACTCTAGTCAAATGGGGTATAAAGAGCAGTTAAATGGAACACTAAGAATTTTTATACTGGTTCATCTCAACCACTGAGATTACGTTCAATTCTGAATCATACTAGATTGAGTTCCAATATCCTTAAACAAAGTCACAAATATCCTTTCAACAAATCACTTATAGTTCAACCCTAAATATTCTTTGACTTGCCTTTTCAAGTATTCTTTTAACAACAAGTCTCTTTAGGTTTAAAACAAGTTTTTTTTAAGACAAGTCTCTTTAGACTCAACCTTATAACAATAGCTATGAAGGTTATATAAGTGTTATGTTTGTCTCACTTAGATGTTATATAAATATAGAACAATGAGTGTTTACAAGAAAGAATAGATTTACTGCTCATATGTTATGCCTTTGCAGTTGTTTCTTTCCTCCTATTGATGTTTAAATTTTTCACCTCTCTCTCTCTCTCTCTCTCTCTCTCTCTCTCACCTCTATATATATATATATATATATATATATATATATATATATATAGGAGGATTATAATAATATCAATGTAACTTTTACTTAGTATTACTAAGTAATATGAACACTTTGATTACCTTCAAGTTGTTGTTCAATTTTAACAAAATTTGATATAAACATATAAAGTGACATAAACTTTTAATCTAACGATTGGATATACAAAATTTACATTTAATATAAGGTTATTAAGCAGTGTAATACTTAGTAAAAATTATACCAGTATTATTATAATTCTTCTTATATATGTATATATATATGAGTTAATCACCTATACACTGTCAGTGTAAAGTTTTTTTACACTCACAACTAATCATATCTTTTAATAGTGTTATGTCAGTTGCTTATTTAATGAAATAAAAATAAAATAAAATAATTTAAAAGATATAATTGGTTGCTAGTGTAAAAAACTTT